CAGGAATGGTTTCATGCCAGGGCAGTTAAGAGAGAGACTGTGGGAGACTGGAAAGAGGTGGAGGCCAGGTTTCGATCATCCTGTAAAAATATCAAGAGATTGCAATTGCAAACGTTTCTGTCACTTGTGATTTCATTTGTGCCTTCTTGAATCTGTACGTTTAGTTTATGGATTATTGTAATTGTGGATTTATTAGTTGCTATATAAAATAGTTTGGTTTCTACTTTTGAGGAGCTTACTACTTAATTAATAAAATGGGAGAATTGAAGTTCATGACTACCTTTCTGCCCACTCACATCACCCTGTGAGATTCTTTTGCAGTTTATCCTAGTCATTTTGGCATTTCGGTACCAGAAAAACAGATCGTTACTTGCAAATGTGATGTGTTCACTTTGCGCTCATTCCAGACATTGGGAAAATGTCAGCCTGAATGAGTTATTAACAATATGAAGCTCACTCACCCTCAGAGGCTGGCTTTTGAAAGCCCCAACCCTTTCGTTAGATTCCTTTTGGCACTTGAGACCGATGGCCAGGTGGGGACTAACAGGTTCTTTGTGTACTGAAGTAGGTTAGCATTTCCTAATTTTTAGTCACTTGCATACCATCCTTACAGGGTTTTTTTGTGTGTGTGTGTAATTTACCACCTATCCTGTTATTTATTTAGTGTTTAAATTATCTCACTTCTTAGTTTCATCCTAAGCAGCAATATCTGTGTAATTATGATTTCATGAGCTGTGCACACATGCATGAGAGACATTAAAATAAATAATTTTTTTTAGAAAATCTGTGTTCTGCCTAAAAACTTGTATAATGCTTTAGGAAACTGAACTGGATTTTTCTTTTTTTTTTTTCTTTCTGTTTTTTAAATTTTATTTGTTTTGTTGTTGAGAGGATACACAGCAAAACATATCAGTTCAATTGTTTGTACATGTACCCTGAAGTGGATTCTTAATAGAGCCTCGAAGGGGAAGAGACCACCCATCCAGATTAAGCCAAATGCTGATATTTGAGTCCTTGCTCACATTTTTAGGAGTAACATTTGAGATTATTGTATTTACGATTTAACAACCAAAATTAGTATGGATGAATGAACAAGAAGAAAAGTCACATGAGTGGGAATGAAGGAAGAGCCATTAGTTGGAGAATGGGACGCTGTTAAGAGTGTTGTAGAAATGGAATATTTAACAGGGAGGTGTCATGTGACCATGGAATACTGTGCTGGCCTGAGTTCTGAGGACCTTACTGCTCTGTGCCAGTTTGTGTGGAACTTCTGTCCTACACGAGATTTGCTGACATGGATGGGGAGAACGGGATACATACCCTCCTATTCCTGATTCTCCTTCCTCTGTTGCTCCGGGTGAATAGAGACCAATTGTTGTGCCTTGGATGGCCTCTTGCAGCTTTTAAGACCCCAGGCACTACTCAGTATACCAGGAGGTAGAACAGAGGCACTAAACATGTTATTAGGCCAGTTAGCCGGGATGTTCCATGAAACCATGACCCTAAACTTCCAAACCAAGAAGCCAAATTCCATGAGGTTTTTGATTGTACATTAGCAGCTTCAGCAGCTACTCTTTTTTTTTTGTTATTGTTGTAAATATATCTACCATAAACTTTTGCCAGTTCAGCCTTTTACAGCTGTACAACTTATTGACAGCAGTTAACAATAATCGGCTGTGCAGCCCTACCCTTAAACAATGAGATATTTCCATCACCATTAACCTCGCCTTTTTCCCCTCCCTCATGCACCTGTTAACCACTAATAAATTTTGTTCTCTGTACATTTGTCTTGTCTTTTATGTAAGTGAGGTCATATAATATTTGTCCTTTTGTGGTTGACTTATTTCACTCAGCATAATGTCTTCTAGCTCCATCCATACTGTAGCATGTACCAAGACTTCATTTCTCCTACTGGCTGAGTAGTATTCCATTGTATGTATGTACTACATTTTGTTCATCCATTCGTTAATGGGTATGTAGATTGTTTCCACCTTTTGACTATTGTGAATAGTGCTGCAGTGAACATTGGTGTACAAGTCTCTGTTTGAGTCTCTGCTTTTAAGTCTTTTGGGTGTATACCTAAGAGTGGAATTGCTGGGTCATATAGTAGTTATATTTTTGTTTTTTTGAGGAACCGCACACTGTTTTCCACAACAGCTGTACCATTTTGCATCCCCATCAGCAATAGGTAAGGGTTCCAATTTCCCCACATTCTCGCCAACATTTATTATTTTCAGATTTTTCTACCTTAGCCATACTGTTGTTGTTAGGTGCCGTCAAGTCGGTTCTCACTCATAGCGACCCTGTGTACCACAGAATGAAACATTGCCGGGTCCTGCACCATGCTCACCGTTGTTGTTATGCTTGAGCCCATTGTTGCAGCCACTGTGTCAGTCCATCTCGTTGAGGGTCTTCCTCTTTTTTGCTGACCCTCTACTTTACCAAGCAGGATGTCCTTCTCCAGGGACTGATCCCTCCTGACAACATGTCCAAAGTTTGTAAGACGTAGTCTTGCCATCCTTGCTTCTAAGGAGCTTTCTGGTTGTACCATCCTAGTGGGAATGAAATGGTATCTCATTGTAGTTTAGATTTGCATCTTTCTGATGGTTAATGACTCTGAACATCTTTTCACGTGTTTCGTGGCCATTTGAGTGTTCTTTTTGGTGAAATGTGTATTCAGGTCCTTTTCCCATTTTATGATTGGGTTATTTGTCTTTTTGTTGTTGTCGAAGTTTTATAAATATTTTGGTTATTAGATTCTTATCAGATATATGGTTTCTGAAGATATTCAGCCAGTCGGTAGCTTGTCTTTCCACGTTTTTGCTAAAGTCTTTTGATGAACCAAAGTTCTTAATTTTTATGAGGTCCCATTTATTTATTTTGTTTTTTGCTGTTTGTGCTTTTGTTATTATATTAACATAATCCATAGTTGAAAGCTAGGCCTGACAGCATTGCTGCTGTTTGTTATTTTAAGAATTTTATGGTTTTAGTTTTCACATTTA